ACAAGAAAATGAAAATATAAAAAAAGGAAAGAAGCTCTGACAACGTGGCTTTGACGCCGGCCGGATCCCGGCCATGATTTTTTCCTTTTTCCATTTTTCGTGCTAAATTTTTCTTTTCTCTTTTCGGCTTCACAATTTAAGGAATGAGATTATTAATATTGTCCACTATTTAGGCCATGTTTTTTTACTTTTGTGAAGTGTACTGTTAGATTAGTTTAGACCGCTTTATTTTTTTCAATAAATATGTATATTTTTAAATGGAAGTAACCTTATAAAACAACATAGACAAAATTATGAATTTTGTAACAATTTGTGCATTTTTTTGTGAAAAAGGTACCAGGGATCACCCCACTGCTTNTTTGTTTTTTGGCTATACAATAATTACAGCTCAATTTTGGGATATTTATCCATTGCAGGCAGTTTACCTTATTTATTTCTTCTTTTCCTTTATATAAATCAATTGGGAAATAGTAAAATTACAACTGTCCATTAACTTTTAATTTTTTTTTTCAGAAAGGCAAAATGCCAAAATTTGTGGTCTTGTTTCGGACAATCAGAATTATATTATAGGGGTTCTTCTAGCTAACTAGCCAACTAATTACGTAATTTAAGAGAAGTTACAACGTTTGTTCTGTTTATAGTATATTGCGAAATTATAGCCATACATTTTGTAAGTGGACCTATTGGCATATAATTTGTTACTAAGTCAAAATTTTTATATCATAATTATTTGGGGGAATCAGTTTAACATTTAAGCTACTTGATTCGTTGTAATTTTTGAAGAAAAAAAATACATATTTATATTATAAAATATCATGCTTTTGTTATATTGTTTTTAAATATGTTATTTGTCATGTATGAAACTTCATATATATATATATATATATATATATATTGAAACACAAATTCGTGTTGAAGTAGCCTAACTGTTAGGTGGGTCGACTTGTCATACTTTTCAATGAAAATGTATATATATATATATATATACTATAGAACGGAAATGTTCCCCTACCCACGGTGGACACATGTTAATATGCTCACCGCTTATGTAGCATGCACACATTGGTGATGTTAATATATTAAAAAAAAAAATCACCATCAGCAATGTGTGCATGCTACATAAGTGGTGGACATATTAACTTGTGTTCACCGTCGGTAGGGGAGCATTTCCCTAGTATAGAATATCATAGATTTGTTTATATTGTTTTTTAGACTATGATATTTCAATTTTAATATATAAAGTATGATTGTCTAACAGTTGTCTTACTATTATAATAAATTAACTGTTAGTTGTAGCAGTGTCAAAAGGGTCAGGCCGGTCCGGCCCGCGGTTCAAACGGGGCGGGCCAAAATGGTCCGCATTTCTATGGGCTGGGAAATCCATGGCCCGTGGCCCGCCCTCATTAGCCCGCGGGCCAAATCGGCCCGCCCGCGGGTTTTTTAGTATTATGCACTCTTTTATACTTTTTTGTTTGTTTATCCTTATATTTACTAGTATATTAATAAACTAGTAAGGCTTCATGTGTAATGATGTTAAATATTTGTCATCCAATTTATATTTTATTTTATTTTATTTTATGAATAGTTATAAGGTATTCACGCGGAGGAGAGACTTAATTCACATAAAATATTATTTGATTCATTAATATTTTTATTATGTAAAAAAGTGTTTCATGTGCATTCACAAATCTTAATATCATTGTCAAATTTTAAAAAATATAAAATAAATAAATATGGAAGAAGAAGAAGAAGAAAAAAAGACGATAAAGACAAAATCCAACAAAATAAATAAGTCCATCAATAGAAGTAAAATAAAAAATACTATATTTAAATAATATAAAATTAACAAATAAATAATTAATAAAAAAACGGGCTGGACCGCGGGCCAACTCGCCACAGCCCGCTTTAGACCGCGGGCCGAACTGGGCGGGCCAAATAGGCTCGCAATTGAACGAGCTGGTCAAGCAAAGGTCCAAGCCCGTCCATTTAGGCGGACGGACGGGTCAGCCCGCGGGCCATGGCCCGTTTTAACAGTGCTAATTAGTTGATATTGTTTCTTACATTGATATGTTTCGCAACCCAATTGTTAAATAATTTTCAACGTTAATACTATTGCAAGGCATACTTAATTGTTAGATAATCATAATTTTTTCAGCATATATGTATATGTTCGAGATGAAAAGATCCCTTATGCATTAGTAAAATGGGCTACATTTTTTGTCCTGTAAAAGATCCAGGATCCATTAACGAATCCCTCCCTTTTTTTTTTTTTAATTGCTTCACCAAAAAGAAATAATAAATAGTTTTTGGTGTAGAGCTGCTTTAGCAAATAGATTTTCAACAGCATGACGCAAAAATTTAGCAAAATAGAAAACGATAGGTGCTCAAACTTAATGATTTTCACATGTACAAATAGATTTGTTATATT